TCAACCGCCCGACATGGACGATTCCATCCATGCAAGCGCACACATGTCGCGACAGACGCCTGACTCCAAATCCGAATCAACAACAAAGACATCCAACAGACTCGGTGTTCCCAGAATTGCCTTGTTACCACAGTCAGCATCGCAAACACCGAGAGACTCTGCATCGACGCCGGCAGAATCTGCTGTCCCCAAGTTGCTCGATCCCGAAGAGGACGTTCTCTCAGACTCTGACCTTCCCGATCCATTCATCTACGACGCGCCGTCTCCAGTTGAGGCCGATTGTGAGGACAGGGCCGATTTTCTTTTGCAAAAGCGTTTCAAGCCAATGGCAGATGTGCAGGCTGCCATTACCGCCCTGACCAAGTTCCCTGCCTCTCAAAGAAGTACAGAGAATCTCTATGCACTAACCGAAAACGCACAACATATTCTCAAAGCCTGGCAAGATGAATATCTCCTGTTGGATGCAAGAGTGGGTGTTACCTGTAAATTCGACTTGTTCTTGACTAACAGCCCCAGACCGCACCCCACATGCACCCGGCCAAGAAAGCTTGCAATGGCGGGCGAATTCCATTGGCACCTGAGGTCTTTGAAGACATGAAAGAGGCGGATTTGTATGGCTACACTTACGATCCCAAAAAACCATTAGGATGTCAGGACCCCTGGGCTCAACGACCAGGTGCAGAGAAGGGTGGCCGTAGGGAGCTTCGAACGCGCCGAACCCGTGACATGTTAGAGTCAGCAGCCCCAAGCGAAGAGGAATACGAGGACGACAACGATGGTCGCCCCTCCAAGCGACAACGAAAGGCCCCCCGCAAATTTGACGGCACTGAGGTTGCCACAGGTGCTACCACCCCGAAGAAGCACAATGGATGGGGTGGCGCACGTAAGAAGGGCGTCAGTAGGTTTGCCAAACCTACGTCCGAGACTCCAGAGCCGGAATCAAGGCCTGTAAAACGTGCAAGGGCAACAGCCAGCAATCTGCTCCACCAGCGTATCCAAGAAATGCGAGAAGAGTCTATCATTGGAAGCTCCGGAGACGAAGAGTCATCAGCCGTGGATGTTGATGAATATACGGAAATTAACCCCAAGCGCGGGCGTCCGGCTGGGAGCAAGAATTCCGCTCGACGCAGTGACTACGGAGTGAAGAAAGGCCCACGCAAGAAGACAAGCGATGCAGGCACGCCTGTTCCATCGGCACATGGCCCTAATGCACCGCCACCTGCACTCAACTCAATGAGTGAAGGCCAAGGTCAGTTTACCATTGAAACCCAGCCTTTTGCAGAAAGTACACCCTTGATGGTACCGAACTCTACTGAGACGGTTTTCCAAGGTACGCCGCAAAATTCTGCACCGCCTCAAGAGGTGCCGCTGGTGCACCCGAGTGAGTCTAGTACGCCAGACGCGTACATGCTTACTGCACCGCTGAGCCAGTATACCAACAATTATGTCGACGAGTCGGCACCTGCCTCAGGGTCGAGAAGGAAGCCACGCGTTAAGAGCGAAAAGCGAAGTCAGTCGATGACTATGTGGTGGGCCGAACGCAAAGCCAAGAAACGAGAGCAGGACGAGAAGGAGGGCAAGCCAGCGAAACCTACATCATCAAGGTCAAATTCTGCAAGTCGAAAGGGCGCTAGACAATCTGGAGGATCAGCTGCTGCCGCGACACCACAGTCACAACAGTCAGAGTCGCAGCAAGCATCTCCAGTCCACCATGCACAGCACACTCCTCTGCAGCACAGTCCTCACCACGCGCCCCCCGAAGCATACCTTCATTACACTCAGGGACCACCTGGACCACCTGGACCACCACAGCACTACATGTATGTCTCTGCTCCAGGGCCACCACATCACATGATGATGTCTTATTCGCCGCTTGCTGCGCTCCCAACAAGCTCGTTCCCAGGCCCATTTTCACATCATCCACCACATCACCAGCAAGGCATTCCTCTTGCCCAGCCTAGTTCTACAGGTGGACCGTTCGGAGGTGGGCCACGCCAACTTGCCCCGGCACCCACGAACATGCCGACCTATCCTAGTCCATACGGCCCGCAGAGCCCGGCCGGCGGGAGACCAAAGAGCCGTGGCCAGTCAATACCCAAGAGTGCTGGAAATGGACAGCAGGCGCTGGCGCCAGCACCGCCTCAGCAACAACAGGGACAGCACTCCCAACAGAGTCCACCAATCTTTACTCCATATGTGCCTGTCAGTATGGCCGGGGGTATAGGACGTGAGATGCCCTTCAAGGTCATGGTCCCTGGGCCCACTCCGGAGAGGAGGGAAAGTCGTTAGGTACGGCTGCTTGCTGGAGGTACTAAAAGCGGGAGGGGCAGGGATGAAAGCGAAGACGAGACTTGGATGCTTGTATAGAAGGCGGGGTTTTTCTGTTTGATTCGTAATAAGAGCTCGAAAGCGAAGGTGCGGTTGCATAATCCAGGGCAAAGGTCACGAGAAGTCCTTTGTATTATAGTTCTTACACTGAAGCGTTGATTTTGTCGGTTTGTATGTCTGCGTTGAGCATCGCATAGTTATGGGCCTTTCACTTCTTTCTACTAGGCTGTGTATCTCTATCCAGAACAAGAAATTTAAACGTGTTTGTCTTGTGCTATAATTATACTTTAATTGGCTAGTGTAAGACTGGCACGCCGCTCCTTCCTCGATGTTTGCAGGACTGCCTTGGCAAAGCGGTGACTGCGCCCTCTCTCACTCACTTCGTCCTTCACTTCTTATCCCCACCTGAGAACAAAAAGGCACCCAAAAGACCGGTTATATCCCTCTAATCTTCTTGTTGTCTTCTCATCGAAGGTTACCGGTACCGTCACCATGGACGAAGACCACAGTGGCCTTCAAAACGATATCGTCGCCTCTACCGCCTCCTTGAATAACTTTGATTGCTCCTTAAGCATACCCCCGCCTACCGAAAACCCTATCAAAAACATGCATCACGATAGCTTCTTCGAGCTTGCACGTTTGATGAAAGAGAAGAAGCCGTATACCACCACTCCAAATCTAACTCTATGCCTATCGCCCCCTGCTGGACCAAACAGTATTTAAAACCATACAACTGTACAATCGAGCACTAAAACAACATAGACTCGCATTATACCGACCGTGTTCTTGATGCAGGTCGCGCTTTTTCCCGCTCGACGAAGCCCTTCACTGCGCCCGAGACTGTTGCTGAATTCCTTGGGAATCAAGAGTTTGCTTCTTCAGTCCATTGTTCAAAAGACACCATCACAAGGTACCTGTTTGAAAAGGTGGCGCAACCTGAGAATCTAGTGGATGACAAATTTGGTCACAACCGTGGAAAAGAGAGTGTATATTCACACGGGGTGCATTCAACCGCATCCTCGAGCAGTGACTTAGTGTGTCTCTCAGACCTTGAGCCGCTTCCACATGTAATACCAGTCGGGTCACCAAGCCCTACTGAATCTCTTCAAACGTCACGATCAACACACCATATCAAGACTGATTACATAACGCAACTGACGAAGCCAGTATGGCATCCTATGGGAAATGAGTTTCATGGTGTAAAAGAACACACACCAAGCCTCGGACGCCACGTTCTAGCTCTTAAGCGAAGCGACGAAGAAACCCGAAGAACCAAGGACGATGATGAGTCGCAATCGTGCAGGCTCAAGTACCGAAATGAAGTTAACAAAAACCAAAAGGCATCGATGTGCCGACTCTTGGCCGAAAAGGAGACTCAAATCAAGGCTCAACAGCTAGATTTTGATAGCCTGGCTCTGAGAACGACAGAATTAGAGATTAAGCTCAAGGACTTGGGAAAAGTGGCTGGTAAAACTGGAAAGCTTCATGGATTCTACTTTCATTCAACTGACAGCTGGTAGAGGAGCGCGATTTCCTGCGCAGCGCTGTCGCGAAACTAGCTCGCGAACGAAATGAAGCCTTGCAAGCCTCTACTAGCGCGCAAGATTATCAAGCGCGCATCCAAAAGCTTACCGATACTCTTGCGAAGTCCAGGGAAGCCAACATCGAGCTACGTCGAAAGCTTGTGGAAGAACGCCTTAATAAGACTGATCTGGAAGATGACAATGAAGATCTTAAAGCCAAACTCCGAGAGAAGACCAGCCTTTGTGACCGCCAACGCGACCAGTTGAAGACTGTCGAACGCGAACTTCGGATCTCTGAAGAGCGTCTCAACAATACAAAGAACGGCCAGTTGTTGCAGGGCGCTGCGCATCTTGTCAAGCCAAACATGCATGCTGAGCTGCCCAAGACGGTGGTTGCATGCTCCGAGTGCTACGCCAACAATCTGGAGTGTGACAGTGAGGCGAGATGCCGCAGTTGTACCGAACGTGGCGTATCGTGCGGGCGTTGGAGGTGTTCAATGAAGCATAAGCTGGGCGATTGTCCCCTTGCACCATGCAAACTCTCGCACGACTCGCAGGGCTGGCTTATTCTGCCAAAAGAGAGGCCTCAGTGGTGAGGAATGTGCCGTGATTGGACATGGTACTGCGTGAGTGGACGAGGAACAACTTGGGTAGCTGCTTTTAAATGGTTTTTGGAACAGGTCTTAGCAACGGAGTTACGGGAAGATGAGGGATACATGGTTTCTATTATGCAGGCTACCATACACGTGCATATGTGTGATGGAGTAGCATTTGCAAAACTTTCCATGAGCTTATGAGTATCGATATATGCGATATAGGAATCATAATCCCATGTCTTGGAGCCTCTGGTATGTAAATTCAAGTAGATATTTCTCTAGTTCCTTTCTTGCAAGCTTCCTAATCACTTTTACTGATCTAGCCTTTGTCTGCTAGCGATGGCACATAAGAATATAATCTGTGAGAGAAGGAGACGTGACAACGAATAAATTCAACTTTTAAACATAGGCATGTGCTCTATGTATATGCTGTTACGCAATCTATTGAGGAATCGCGTGTGGTAAAGCTGCCAGGTGTTCGATCGGCGGCTATGATCTGGTCTTTGCGTCTGAGAAATGGCTTTGGCAGCTTTTAGATCACGTACTCAGCGAATCATCTCCCGAATCGCTTAAGCTCCCACATCCTGAGTGGCGGATACGTGACCGAAGCCCATGCGAAACCGACAAAGTTACCCATCTAGAAGGTATTAGCATGAATCACCAAAATCTGCGCATGTACTTCACATACGTCAGCACCGTACGTTCCAACTTGTTTGGCGATAGGCCCAATGTACCAGACTTGTGCCATGCACATGATGGCGCCAATCCAACCGATGACAAAGGCAGCTAACGCTGCGATGCCCAATGGCAGCTTCTTCTTCTGATTCCATACTTCCCAGTTGAAGCCGATCTTGCGGCGGAAGATGAAATGCTCCTCTACGATAATGGCAATCCAGATAGACACCCAATAGCCCATGAGGGCGAGGAAATTGGTGAAGATTTCCGCAAGGTGCGTGCGTCCTGCCAGGGCGCAGACTGTGAAGATGATGACGCCGACGGTATTCCAGATCACTCTTGGTATGGCAGCGGCGTAACGACCAAGGATTTGTGCATCAATTCCAGAAGAGTACGTTGGTACAATGAGGTTGGCGACGAGTCCCAAAGCGACAATCACGCCACAAAAAGAGCCAAATGCGCCGAGAGGCTTGTATCCCTCCACAATGAGCGCACCTTGCGATACGCCATACGCTGCTTCCCAGTCTGCATTGTTCGACATGCCGGATGCCAGCCCAATCCCAAGAACAAAAGCGAACGTAAAACTACACATTAGGCCAATCATAGTCATGCTGAAGATGCTAAGAGACGATGCATGTTCAGGATAATAAACAAAGTAGTCGGCTGCACCACCACCGTACGTGATCGCCGCTGCAAGTGTAAGGCCAAAGAAGCTGATGCGGTTCCCGATGATGGTATTTGGATTTTCGTCGCCATGAGACTTGGAAGATATGTCGAATCGCGGACCTGCGACGCCCGCCAATATGCAGAGTACCACGAGCTGCGGCAGCCATGCCCAGCGCTCGTAATAGTGAAATATCTGGTATCCGAATGTGGTAATTGCCCAAGCAATGACGGCTACGATGATGATGCCGACCACGACAGACATGGAATTTGTCGAGACAGCAGAGAGGATTTGGCCTGCTACTACACAGTCGATCATGCCATATCCGAGCAATACGATGATGTTGAGTAACACAATGATCTTGGATGGCCACCAACCCGTAATGTACCGCGAGAAGATCATGGTACGGTTACCGCTCTTAGGACCAAATGTGGCGACGTAGGCGACTACGAGGCAACCAACCATTGCGCCGAAGACGCTCAATAAACAGGCGTCTGTGAAACCAAGAGCGAAAACGGCAGGGCCAAGCATGCCCAATGTGATGTTGTTCGCTGCCAAGTTGACACTAAACCACATGATTGCGACCTGCGAATAGCCCAAAAGGCGCAAATCATGACGTTCGTGGGGCTCGACGCGCTGGATGCCGCGGGCCTCGAGGTTGTATGCTACAAGCTGGCTCTCGAATGTCTTCCAAGTCTTTTGCCATTTTGCATAGCGTATATCATCCTGGCGCTCGATATCGTGAGTCAATGGTGAACTACTTGCACCCGGCGCATCTGACGTTTTCTCATCGTGTGGCATCGCAATGGAGTCCATGGTACCGACCTAGAGCCATTAGCAGCAGCCTTCAATTGGTAGAGGGAGCAAAGCATGAGTCCTTTCGCAGGTTTTAACCTGATCAAGTTCAGACCGTATATCTCAGATCGCTGCCACCCACAAAGGGAACGGCGAGCGAACACCGGTCTCATGCATTGTGTTACCTGAGGTTACCTTGATCGGGCGATATTCTGCTACTTGGCCGCATCATGGCTGCAATGCCGTACTTTGTTTTGAATGTGGAATTTGTAATGTAGTACAGAGAGATGAATTGGGAGAGAGGTGCAGGAGGCGTTGGTTCAGAGTAGAACAATCACGTGTGGGGTGATTACTACTATCAGGAAGCCCCGCCCGCGGACATCGTGCCGTCTTTAAATCCCTGCGCATCCCGCGCAGTCCAGCGGTAACCCTTGTGACGCGACGTGATAGTGATCCACAGTTGTTGTCATTGAATTCCATGTCGTAAGCATGGCTTCTACTACTGTAGAGATGGACTGGACGCTAGAAGTGGTGCGTTCAAGTCAAGCATCGAAAACATGAGCTTGTCAACCGCTGGTGCGTTCGAGTCAGCCTCTGTAGTTTGACATCACGGCCGCACCACACTAGACATGCGATAGTGGTTATCAACACCACCGTGCGTATTCACAAGTCTGCGTGACTCCTTACCACCTGCTGTTTCAAGGCTAGTCCATGTCACACTGATGTTCTCGCTCAACTTTTGCAGATCGTCTAAGACCGAGACAAGGGTAACCCCACAACAAGGCAACATCCACTTTCTTCGTATCCAATTGGAATATCCAATGTCGAGTCCAGTTGCGTAGCTACGTAGGATAATTTCCCAAACGCTAAACCGGTTGTCGACCGCGGTGCCAATGAGTATCCATCATGGTTGCCCGGATGGCAATTTAACCATTTAACAAGGCGCCCTGGCCGTGGTACCTTTTTACAATTGACCAAGCTATCCTTCACGTCTCCGGCATCATGATGTGGGTAAAGAGCCTCCTATTAGCCATCGGGCTGATGTCAGCTCTGACTTGCGCTGCGCCAACAATTCACGGACGAGACTCCAACAGCACATGCAGAAGAACAAAGGTAGCAATCATGTATGTTGAAGTAAATTTACTGCGCGGACTCAGCGACTGACCTCGTCCAGAGGAGGTGGTGTTGCCGGTATAACAGCAGCAGTAAGTATGCCTTTTTGAATACAGTCTCTATCCGACTCAGTATCTAATATATTGGAAATTGTGCCATCATACTGAATTTTCCCCAGCAAGCATTGTCTAATCAATCAGTCTCCGACTTTCTCATCCTCGAGTACCAGAGTCGCATTGGAGGCCGCATGCTAAGCACCGAGTTTGGCTCAGACTCTAACGGCAATCCATACACGGTCGAACTCGGCGCAAACTGGATCTCAGGATTAGGCGAAAACACCAAAAATGGCCCAGAAAACCCAGTCTGGACTTTTTCGAAGCAGGTCAATTTGACGAGTCCTGATTCCGATGCCTTTTCTATTGCGACCTATAATGAAACTGGGGCTGTCGATTACACTGAGATCCTTGATGAGTTTGAAGAAACCTGGACTAGCTTTGAGCAGAGGGCTGGGACGATACTTGCAGAAAATCTACAAGACAGGAGTGCCCGTGCGGGCTTTTGGCAAAGCGGATGGCGACCAAAGGGCGATCCCATGCGCAAGGCAGTCGAGTATTATCTTTGGGATTGGGAGACGGCGCAGGTAAGCTCTGAGCATAATCCTTGGATTTCGAAAATATGCTGATTTTCGATCTTGTTACAAAGACACCTGAGGAATCTGGTTTCGTATACGGAATCACGGGATGGAACTTGACATACTATGGATTTTCTGAGGAGAGCAAATGTAAGGTATCCCAATGCACGCGTAAGATACTTTGCTAATTTCGGTGGTTCTGCAGTTTGCGCTGACCCTCGCGGCTTCAGCACCTGGCTAAAAAACCAAGCGTCCAAATTTCTCCAACCAAATGACCCTCGGCTGCTTCTCAACACTATCGTAACAAACATTAGCTACTCGGATACTGGTGTACATATCACAACCTCTGAAGGCTCCTGTGTAGAGGCTGATTATGCCATCTCTACCGTATCTCTCGGCGTTCTGCAGAACGAAGTCATTACCTTGGAACCCGAGCTACCAGAATGGAAGCAGTCTGCCATTGCCACTTTCGCATTTGGCACATATACAAAGATCTTCTTTCAATTCAACGAGACCTTCTGGCCAGACGACAAGCAATTCCTCCTCTACGCAGATCCCACAAACCGAGGCTACTGGACCGTCTGGCAAAGTCTTTCAACCGAAGACTATTATCCCGGCTCTAACATCATCTTCGCTACGCTCGTGGACGAGCAATCGTACCGCGTCGAGGCGCAAGATGACGAGACTACAAAGGCAGAAGGCATGGATGTCCTCCGCAAAATGTTTCCCAACGTCACTATTCCGGAACCGATAGCGTTCACGTACCCACGATGGACTCAAACGCCGTGGTCCTACGGCTCTTACTCGAACTGGCCCGTTGGGACAACTCTCGAGATGCATCAGAACCTGCGCGCGAATGTGGGAAGATTGTTTTTCGCGGGCGAGGCTATGAGCACGGAGTACTGGGGCTTCCTCCATGGAGCGTGGTATGAAGGTCGCGAAGTGGGACAACGCATTGCTGGGCAGCTGACTACTGAGTGTATCAACGTTGCGAGCGGGTGCGGCGATCTGAATAAGTATGAGGTGTTGCATGGTACGACGGAACTCTGGGAACTCAATGCGTTCAATGGCATGAGAACGAGTCCGTTCTTTGTTGTTGACAGTGAAGATGAGGAAGATGCATAAAGCTAAGATGGTGACATCTATAATTTAATGAATGCTCAATGACTTGTGATCAAAGATACTGAGGTATTGTGTGCATTGTACCATTATCGTCTTGTCATTTCGTGTCTAATTTGAGCTCAATATCCGCCCATATTGGTACATGATCGCTGGGCCCTCGTTCTGCCTCACTGTTCATGATCCCACAAGCTTCTACATATCCCTTGTCCTAAAACCTTCGTCCAGCGATGAAGTAATCCATCCTATCACAGCTAGTGCCTCATTCTCTGTTGCGTGGATAGTAGGTATACCTCCTCTCTTGCTCATGCATCTTCCTCCAGATATCGATACCGTTCAGCCCAACAGTTTTCTTCTCTTCATCACTTTTCTCAAGCAGCATGTCGTGAAAATTTGCACGATTAACGACGTGGTCCCTAGGAAAGACCCATAATTTAGGGTACCCATCACGCTCATCAGGAGCAACATTCATATCACCCGCAAGCAACACATCCCAGTCCTTCTCCTCTAACCCCTTACATTCGTTCATCAATAAACGATGGAATTCTCGCTTGCGATCGTGTCTCGTTCCCTGCACAACTCCACTACGTTTATCGCGATACAAGCAGTCTGTTGAATTGACAGCATAGATGTTGAAGATTGCGAGTTTCGACAATGTGGCTCGACATGTGAGTTCTACTATTGAGACTCGGCCTTCGCGATCCCAGTCAACTGTTCGCACTGTTCCTGTGTAGGTGTTGGTCAAGTCACGGCGCAAAATGCTGCCAACACCATATACCTTTCTGCTTCCCCGTGGATCACGCGCATTGTGGGGATCGGTGGGAAGGGTGAAGTACGCGTCGTACAGTGGACCTTTAGCAGTGTTTGAACTGGTCTCTGAGAGCAAAGGCGAGTTGATGGCTGTTCTTACAGCATCTTGTGTTTTTGTATCTTTGGATGCGATTTTGACTTCTTGGAGGAAGAGAATGGACAACCAGTGGTGGCGGTGCAGGAAGGCCCGGAGTGAAGCAGGATATATTTCATCTTTGCTATCCTCCTTATTGTTATCTTTTATTGCCTCAAAGAATGACGTAATTGATGGTTAGAGAAAGGGTGAAATTCCGTTGATGTTCCAGAAGGGGATGCGCAAGGCATTTGCTTCCAGTGGTGGGAGAATTATAGAATTGGTAAATGATATTGTCCCTGCAAACTTTTTGTCGCTGCAGTTGATGTAGTCTTGCGCCGCTTGGCGAGCGGAGGACTAATGACACGATTCATGAATATCCCATCCATGTCGATATATCGAAGTTTGCAGCTGCCTCAGGGCATCTATAATGGTATGTGACGTCATATACCATCAAGTATATTAGGGGTGGTACTGGCTGATATGTGCTGCAAGACATTTGCTAGTGACGGTCGATCGCGCGTGCACGTGGCCGGGACGGGACGCGTCAATCAACATGCTTCACATGCGTTAATTGGGCAGGGATCGGCCACATCATTCATCGACCCCTCTCAACCGCTTAACACTCCAACTTCAACGCCACCCCTCCGCCACCATTGTAGTATAAACCCTGGTCTCCAATTCCTCAGCGACATTCATATCTCACATTTCAAACTCCTCTCAAATGGCCTACCAACGCAAGAAGAGCCTGCTCATCGGTATTAACTATGTTGGCAGCAGCCACGAACTACGCGGCTGCCACGCCGATGTAGACAACATGGCTGAGTTTCTTTACTACCGTGGCTACAACAACTCTCCACAGGACCGTGTTATTCTGACCGACCGCCCTGAAGTCCCACCCGACTCTCCCTACTACCCCACCGGCCACAACATGCTTGCGGCAATGGACTGGCTCGTCTCGGAACCTGGATGCACTCTCTTCCTTCACTACTCGGGTCATGGTGGCCAAATTGCGGATACGGACGGAAACAGGACGACGGGTCTGGATGCATCCCTTGTTCCCATCGACTTTGAGCAGAGAGGTCAGATTTCGAGTACGATTCTGCACCAGCATCTTGTCACTCGCATGGCACGTGATTGTACACTCTTCGTAATCATGGATTGCTGCCACTCTGGAAGTGCGCTAGAACTCCCCTATGTTTACCGCTCCGATAGTGATGGCCAGATCAGTCTGATGGACAATCTGAAGACTGGTTTACATCTTGCAGAAGAAGCCCGTGATATCATCTCAGGTGGATTTACGTTCGATAAGGTCGGCGAGGCGCAACAGCTTCTTGCCGGAGCCAGTAGCTTTTTCAAGGGTCTTAGACATATGGGCGAGGAGCAAGAGGAAGGGCTTGAGGACGGAGAGTTTGCTGACCAATATGGCCACGAACGAAAAATGGTCACCATGTTTTCTGGTTGCAAAGATGAGCAGACAAGTGCTGATGCACAGATTGAAGGCCGTGCAACCGGAGCCATGACTTGGGCGTTTCTGGAGATGATGAAGAGTACGGAACGCCCGAGCTACGCTGAGGTATGTTTTCCATGTTATAATATTGTGCTTTGCTGACTAGTTATAGACCCTCAAACATACAAGAAAGCTGCTGGACGAAAGCAATTATACCCAGATTCCCCAACTAAGCTGTGGGCTGGACATTGATCTGGATGAGATGACACTGATGATATAATCTGGATGAAATATGCAAAAAGCGGGCAGTAGCCACCAAACACAATCTGTTGATACATTATCACAACTTGGCATTAGAATTAGAACTAGCTATGACCAAGTAACATACTGCAGTTTGATACTCTATGTTTGCAAACATATCATGTTGATAGAGACAAAACTGCCCTTTGCCACAAGCAATGGGAACACTACTAGAGCATATTGCAATACTGATCCAAAGTGTTTGTAAACAAGCAAATAAAAGCTTGAAGATAGACTACTATTTTATGATCCAGCCCGCACTCTCTCAGTGTTTTCTTAACCATCAAACGTACTCCAACCCAATACCAAAATCCTCCCATACCCACAAGCAGAAATGGCAGATGACCCCATAACCACCCTATACACACACACATCCTCTCCAAAACCAACCTGATCCTCGCTCCACATGGCACCAGCAAACAAACCTTGAACGAGATATTGAGTCCGTCCCACCTTTGATCTCCCATTTCCTCATTCCCGTCCTGCACTAACAATTTTCCTTGTCAAGATAATCTCGCCTTTCTCGTGCGTTATTACCTAAACTCACCTGATGTCAACCCCCTCCAAGTCAGCGTCCCCATCATCATCACACTTGCCATGAAAAGTCCCTCTGGCAAAACCAAGCTGGTTCACAAGATCTCTCTCGTGGCACAGGATAGGCCGATGAGTTATATGTCCGGAACGCCTATAGAACCACATGAGAGTGTGCTTATTCAGATGGTTAGCCCTGTGGGGCATTGGTGGTGTTTGATTAATGGATTTGCGTCTACGACGGAACGAATGGTTAGAGGGATAGGAGAGGGAGAAAAGGACTTTGTGGATGCGTGTGGAGGGAAGAAGAAAAGAGAGGAATGCCAAAATCATAGTGGTGTAGACCTGGTGTGGGATGTTCAAAGGCGGGACGAGGATTCCTGAGCCCACTGGCAATATGCTTTCTACGAAAAGAAAACTCACCCACAAGACACATGGCATGTGATTAGAATAAGGGTTGATTCTCAGTAACGAGATACGTAGCCAGAAAAACAGCCAGTCATTCATATGTACTTAGATCAGAGGTATGAGTAAGGAAAAGGACGAAACAGACATACAAAAGGTATCCCCAATATCCAATGAAAATCCATGCACACCAAGAACACCTATCCCGCTGCCTTTCCAATGCCACGAAGGAAAAGGATCGCGACCAGAAATAAACGCCTCTCGAATGCAACTATTCACCACCCGTCATGCGTTGGAAGCGTCCTCTCAAGGACATCTAGTCCTTGGCGACCTCCGCCCTGACCTCACCCTTGACGTTTTCAGTGTCGCGTTCCGCTTCACCCTCCTCTTTTGCCGCGACAGTCTCTTCCTTATCATTAGTTTCGGCCATTTCCACATCAGCGACTGGGGCTGATGTGGGTGCCGTTGTAGCAGGCACAGCAGTGGGTGGCGACTCAGGTGGGGTTACAACGCCTGCAGGAGATGGTTCCCGCTCAGGTGCAGCAACAGGAGCGGCAGTATCGGAGGTTTCAGTAACGGCTGGAGGAGCAGTAGCGGGGGCGGTCTCAGGGGCAGCCTCGGGGGCGGCCTCGGGAACAGCTTCAGGGGCAGCTTCAGGGACGGGTGCGTCCATGTCGACATCACCATCTTTGTCAACCTCCTGCTCAGCAGCAGCAGGTGTTTGTGTACGCGATTTTGCGCCTGCAGAGGGTTGTCGGGTCGAAACAGCGCTTCCGCCATTGATGTCTTCCATAAGATCCAGGGCGTCAGCTGGGGCTGCATTAGGATTGGGGAAGTCAGTAATGTTTCGTCTCTTCTTGACGCCGGGCTGAGCGCGCACTCCGAGGCTATTCTTGTAATCCTCATCATCGCTTGCATCGTAAAGTTCACCGTCATGCTCGATCTGCTTATCGCGCTGGCGCTGTGTCATGCGCACATCTCGGTTTTCGTCCGCATCAATATCGTCTTCTTCGTCCTCAGCATCAGAATCCATCGCGCGACCTAGAGCCGTGGGCACATCTGGGATCGTTGTGAAAGCCTCGACCGATGGTCGTCCCGTTCTGCGAATGTTCTCAATGACAGCTGATTTGATCTTATGCAAATAGTCGTGAGAGTTGGCGTTTTCCATGTTTGATGGCCGGACATCCAGTTCGTAGTCGGGCGCAAAGTACTCGTAGTAGTCGTTGAAAGGTAGTTGCTTGGACATTTTTTGCGAAACAAGCTCTCCAGTCTCGTATGCCCAAGTTCGCGCGACATTCCTCATGGTGTAACCACCGCCTCCTAGGACGATGACTGGTACACCAAAGCTCTTGACGTACCTGACACAGTTGGCGTGTCCGTCCATGCTCAAATTGAAGCAACCGAGCCTGTCTCCTGAAAGACTGTCACCACCGCATTGCAGAACGATGGCTTCGGGTCCATAATAAGTCATTACTGCCTCGATGACAGGCTCAAAGATATTTCTGTATGTCTCGTCGGTGATACCGTCTCGAAGAGGGAAGTTGACAGAGTAATTCTTGCCACTACCAACACCGATGTCGCGGAGTTCTCCAGTACCGGGGAAGTACTCTCCGTATTTGTGGAATGAGACGGTCATGACACGATCGGTAGTGTAAAAGGCCTCTTCAACACCGTCTCCGTGATGGACGTCGATGTCGATGTAGAGTACACGCTGCTTATACCTAAGCAACTCGATAATTCCGAGGACAATGTCATTGACATAGCAGAATCCACTGGCCTCGCTCTTTTTCGCGTGATGCAAACCACCAGCCCAGTTTACAGCGACATCGCATTTCCCCCGGTTCAGACGAGCGGCGCCCTCCATGGTACCGCCAGCGCTGATACCGCAAAACTCAAAAAGACCATCAAACACAGGGCAATCGTCTCCCACATTGTATTTACTTTGCTCGCGGGTGAATTGCTCCATGTTGTCTGGCGTGACCTTATGCAGGAATTCAATGTACTCGTCCGTGTGGAACTGCGTCATCTCGTACTTAGAAGCGGGTTTTGCGCGCTAGAGATTGTTAGAGGTTGTCTTGAGGAATGACCTTCAGAGTCCACCTACGTAGATCTCCATCTTTGTGTAGAGACCGTAATTCATAATGAGACTATGCGCCATTCGTATACGATGCGGCTTCATGGGGTGTCCCGCAACATAGGCGTAGTTACCGACATCGGAATCGTAAAAATATGCGACCTTCTTTGGCTGCGACGCAGTGCCGGTATTAATGTGGACAGCGCCAGTTGGGCCTGCCATGTCGTTTCCGTCCACCATGTCTGTGGTGGCTGCGCGCAGCTACGTGACTATCTTGTGGTGATTGAGATGCTCTCGAAGCTTTAGGGGGAAAACCAAGTGGGCCTTGGTATGCGCGAAGAGCGTGAGAGTTTATGGAGTCCTCGAGACTGAAGGGTCAGGAAAAAGTGGAGGGGCCTGGACGAGAGATGGGGAAGCTTTGAACAAAGACGCGGGCATGGAGCATTCGAGCTGCGCCGGGGTACCCCTGCTTAGTTCCGGTACCGGAACAACATCAGCGCCGGATATGGCAGTCGCGCAGTTACGTGAAGCTCCGAGCATCGATAGCTCGAAGCCATCATTGCCCTTGCCGCCGCCTTACTCAAACAACCACTTCACTTACTCGTGGCAGATAACCCCGTCTTTGTCTCAAGCCCTTTGAATACGCCTCACTGAGAAGACCTATTATCAATACCCCCACTATGGACCGGTTAAGCAGAATGCTCGCCGCCGCTCAAGGCATGGGTGGCATGGGAGGGCCGCAGGCGGACACCAACCTCATCGACAACTCGGAAACTGTTTACATCTCTTCGCTCGCACTACTCAAGATGTTGCGACACGGCCGGGCCGGTGTGCCTATGGAAGTCATGGGACTGATGTTGGGAGAGTTCGTCGACGACTACACAGTACGGGTGGTGGACGTGTTTGCCATGCCGCAGTCCGGAACTGGTGTCTCCGTCGAAGCTGTAGATCCCGTCTTCCAAACTAAGATGATGGACATGCTTCGTCAAACAGGAAGGTATGTAGTCAAGCATTGGGCTCTCGGGGTCGCCACAGGCTCTTACATTGTTCATTGAGTCGCTGACAAATACAGGCAAGAAACCGTTGTCGGCTGGTACCACTCACATCCCGGTTTTGGCTGCTGGTTATCGTCAGTCGATATCAACACACAGCAATCGTTCGAGCAGCTTACACCCCGTGCCGTCGCCGTCGTAGTCGACCCCATCCAGTCCGTCAAGGGCAAAGTTGTCATCGATGCCTTCCGCTTAATCAACCCGCAAACGCTCATGATGGGTCACGAGCCCCGCCAAACCACATCCAACGTTGGTCACCTCAACAAGCCTTCGATCCAAGCACTCATCCATGGTCTGAATCGTCACTACTATTCGATTGGTATCAACTACCGAAAGACCGCATTGGAGGAGAACATGTTGATGAACCTGCACAAGCACGTGTGGACAGAGGCACTGCTCATGGATGATTTCAAGAGCGAGGGTGAGCGGAACGTGGATAGGCTGCAGAAGCTGGTCACATTGGCGGACGGTTACGAGAAGCGAGTTAAAGAAGAGACGGAATTGACAAAGGAGCAACTGAAAACACGATATGTCGGAAAGGTGGATCCAAAGAAGCGTATGTTTATGTGTGTATGGTACCTTGGAACTCTACTGACGAATGATTGCAGACATCTCGGACGTTGGCCAGCAATTGATCGAAGACAACATTGTGTCTGTCTCACGGCAAATGATTGACAAGGAAGCCTCAGTACCCAAGCCAAATGCGCGACAAAGCGGTCATGCCAGTGGTGGTGATGACGTGGAGATGGAAGAATAAATGTGGGGTCGCTCGCGCCGAGTGCGAAGCATGTCTGGCACTGAACAATATGCTGTTTCATTTGTCAGTCCATGTATATCCTGGCTTGGGGACTGGTGGGGTCGTGTACCCTGACAGGCAACGCGAGTCAGACTATACGTAATCACATAGCTGAGAGACGGATACGAACGCCGTAATGCATAGAGTATGAGACAATGATACTACTACACACGTGTCCCTTTATCGCCACCTGCTAGGGTATTGATGACCAAGGCACACAGGGAAGTTCCTTGCAAACATACGTCCACATGTACATTCACGATTGGGACGTATAATCAAATAGACACGGTCTAGAGGTCATTTCTGTATTTTTTTTGTATTGATTTCCCCATTTGCAACGCATGAAGTACTGAAAGCAAGGAAAACCCCTACTAGATGATTCTTTTTACAAAAATTTAATCCACATGACTTCTATCCAAAAGCCCCACGATTGACGCCATTACCAAAAAAAAGCTCAAATCAGTAAACAAGGAGGGGGGAGCAGGGACAATAAACAACAAAACCAGAAGAGAACATAACATAACAGAACAAAAATTATCAACAAAAACTCGTGCCGCCATGATTTTTATCCACATCAAATCATTTCTTCATTTTTGTGTGCGCCGCGCGACATGACAAGAAGTTCTTTTCGCTTCGTCTCCTGCTGTCGCCCAAAGAGAACAAAAAGGCGAGATAGAGAGAGAGGAGAAAGCAAAAGAGCAAGACCAAACTGAAAAAAAAACGCATACCTCCTTTCCCCGGCCGCCCGATGCGCGTGTGCGTATTCGTCTTTGGTATATAAAAACAACAACGGAATTTGCCTCCATTTCCAACATACACAACCTTGTTTTTTCTTTTCTTCGTCCTCTTTCTTTCTTGTGCCATTTGCTAGGATGGAAGAATATGGAAAGGAAGGGTAAGAAGTTTTAAAAAAAAACGGGGAGAGAGAGGGGAGGTTAGCAGACCCCAAACAACATAAACAAATAAGAAGCGATCCAATCCAATTTCCTCCACAGGTATATATATATGTTCATTTCCGCATAACTGACTTGATTCGAATACTTTTTCGTTTTCTTTTATTCCCCGGCGCAAAAGTATATAGCAGACATCCGACGGGCATCTTGGAAAACTCCAGTTGGAAAATAAAGTGAAAGGCGTCTATTTGGGTGGGGTAACATCGCGAGATAGAGAGTGAGAGAGACACGGGGGCGTGACTGATGGAAAAGTCGGGCCTTGTTTTCAAAACAAACAAGAAGAAGTCGTTTCCAGAGAAATGAGATGCACATAGCGACTGTTGAAGACCAGTATTCTTGATTGGCCAGATCCTTGACAGGGGTGTGTCGATTGGCAATGTTTGATAATGCAACAACAGATGGTTACATGGTCAGTGGCTACTTCTCAGTGAGCCAAAGACGTACCAGACTAAGGGTGCCCATGCGGTTTGCTTGAGCTTCCATCTTGGTGGGATCCATTCTGCGTTGTCGAGCGCCTCCTTCTCGCATTCTCGTCATCAGAGCTGGAATGGCTACTGCTTCCATCCTCGAGACCAATGCTTCCATCCTTGGATTCCCGACGGAGCCTATCGGCCTTGTCTTTGAGGTATTGAGCCTGCTCTGCTGCTCGCTGTGCACGAATCTGCTTCTTCCACATGGCAGCATAATGACCATTTCGGTCAAGGAGCTCCTCATGCGTTCCACGTTCTTGAACCTTGCCCTTGTGGAGAACAAGAATCTGGTCAGCGTGGGTAATGGTACTGAGACGATGAGCAATGATGAGCATTGTTCGGCCCTTTGCCAATGTCGTAAAGGCTTCTTGGATGTGCTGCTCCGTTTCGGTGTCAAGAGCTGCCGTCGCTTCATCAAGCATGATGATTCGCGGGTTCTTCAAGATGGTGCGTGCAATGGCAACGCGTTGTTTCTCACCTCCTGACAGCCGCAGACCGCGGTCACCAACTTTGGTGTTGTACCTATCTGGGAAAGTCATGATTTTGTCGTGGATGCTTGCAGCCTTGCACGCCTCGTGCACGTCCTCGTCTGTTGCCTCTGGATTGGCGTACTTGAGGTTATACATGAGGGTCTCGTTGAAAAGGACAGTATCTTGAGGCACAACACCGATATGGCTACGGACCGAATCGATGGTCAAATCTTCTACGTCATGTCCGTCGACTTGGATGCTGCCAGACATGGTGTTGTAGAAACGGTATAGCAGACGGAACACGGTCGATTTACCACCGCCAGACTCACCGACAAACGCAGTCGTCGTACCGGGTTTGCAGTGGAAATCGAGACCGGTCAATGCGGGTTTACGCTGGTCGTAGGCAAAGTGTACATCCTGGAAGCGGAGGTTACCTTCGCAAGACACCAAGGGCTGCGCGTTCTCCTTGTCGACTACAGTGGGCTGCTCCTTGAAGAGCTCAAGCATTCGCTCCGAATTGATCATAGCAGACTGGATCATCCTGTAGAAGGTGCCGAAGAAGTTGAGGGGACTCTGCAGCTGGCCCATGTACGTGATGAGCGTGACAAACTTGCCAACCTCCAGATCGCCAATAGCAACTTGGTATGCTGCGATGAAGCAAGTTACGAGAAGTCCCACCATGAAGACCATGTTTTGGGTAATGTTCATAATGTTCAGCGAGAGCATCACCTTGTACTCTGCATTTTGGTACTTCTTGACAGCTTCACGGTAACGGTTGAACTCGTAAGCTTCGGCGTTGAAATACTTGACCGTCTCATAGGATACCATTGAGTCATTCCTGTGGGGCGTCAGCTGAGGGGGAGCTAGAGAGATACCAAGACTACTTACTTGACTGCGTCTTCCTCTCGGTCAGCATTGACCATTTCACGGCGGATTTCAGCGCGCCATTGGGCCATGCGGATCGTCAGGTAAATGTACCAGAAGGTGACAATGGCGATGACGAGGGCGTAGTAGGCATCGAATCGGACGAGGAAGTAGGCGATGGCAACGGCCAGATCGATAAGCATGGGCACTACCGAGAAGGTGACTTGTTCAAGGAAGGTGTTGATGGAGCTGCCCTTTCCTAACGCGGACAGGACCTCACCGGTCTTCTTGCCGAGGTGGAAGTCGAGACTAAGGCTGTGCACGTGCTCAAACGCCGCAACAGACAATTCACGGTACGAGTACTGCGAGACAGGAATCCACAATGCTGAGCGGGCTGCGCCGAGCAGGCCATTGCTTCCTTGCAAAAAGCGAAAAGCAATGTAGACCATGATGGCAGTCCATGGATTGCCCTTGTCGGGGTCTTTGAGGCGGTTGACAATTTCACCAGTCAAATCCGGGACGAGGACGTTGACGACGCGCTGAGCCAAAACAAGCACAAAACAAGCAACGACAACGAGTTGCAACTTGCTGTCCTTGGAAGGCCAGAGGTAGGGGAAGAACACGTGATAGCCCTTGATGTACTCCCACCAGCTGCGGGCAGGCGCACCCGTGGGTCGGCTCCAAGCGGGTGGTGCACCCTCGGTGTGCTGGTGTTTGCCACCGACTGGGTGGACGGTGCCGTAGGAACCATTGGTGTGACCATTTTCCGCATGACCATTCTGATCGGCGCCACCCAACAAGGACGTGCTCTCAGTCGGCGACGCCGTATCTTGGTGCGCCTTTCGCTGGGGCATGACGACGAACATGACATAGAATCCGATAAGGGAAAGCAACAAGAGGATGCGCAGCAGGTCCATGGCGACTTCGCCGGCTTCCCAGTCAGTCATTCCAAAGCGCAGGCGCTTTGGGGGCGGGCCTGCAGTGGGCTCCTTGTGGGGATGCGTGTAGATGGCGAAGGAGAGAGCGACGAGGACGATTTCCAGTACTGTTGCTAGGACCCATGTTGCTAGATGGGCCTCTGTGGGCGAGGGTTTCGAGTCAACGAGAGAGATGAGGAACAGACAGTAGACGAAGAAGGAGCCCACGAGATAGATCTGGTAGAGTCAGGACGGGGACATTTATTTATTTTTGTTTTGTTTTCCTTGGGGCATGATGATTGGGGTGGTGGAGTTGCACATACCACGACGGCTTTGCCAGCCCACCAGTGCTGCTGTTTCTCGACCAGGGCATGGGCGACGACAAGGACGGAATTGCCGACAAAGGTAAAAGCAGTGGCGAGCGAGACCCATTCGAACACTCTCTTTTGGGCGTGGGTGACATGATCGTGGGCGGTCCTCTTGACAAAATTGCGGGTTGGGTCGGTGGCGGGCAGCGGTTTGCCTCCAGGGCCGGTTGTAGTAGGTTTGGCGATATTAGTATTAGTCTTGGAGGCGGCGATGCTGCGGGTGGTGAAGGCGACCAGGAAGAAAACGAGCATAACGATGGGGTAGGCATATTGCAGGATGGCCGTGACGGTGCGGACAGGGCGTGCATAGGCCCAGCGGTCGTCGTCGAGGTCGTCAAAAGGCAAAGAGTCGGCGGCGTGGAGCAGCAGCAATGGTTCGGCCATGGTGTGTGTCTCGGGCTCGGACTCGGACTCGCGCGCTCCACTTGAGCATGAGACGCGGGAGTAGCTCGCAGTCGGGGAGGGCGTTGGGGCTGGGGCGGGGGAGGAGGAGGAGGAAGAAGAAAGAGGAAGAAGAAGAAGGAGGAGGAGGAGGACAAGAAGAGGACGGAGGGGATTGCTTGGGAGCGATGGAGGGCGATGCTGGAGGAGAGAAACACGGTGACATTGGCGCATGCGTTGCTTTCCGTCGTGGGCGAGAGGCGTCTTGAGTGCAGGGATGGCGGGCGGCCCGTGCACGATGATCGATTTCCATCTGGACCTCGACCTGGGACGCGACAAGTCATTATGGAGCCGCCCAGCGTTTCTCTTGCTCTCCTGCATGGCCCTGCCCTGCCCTGCCCTGCCCTGCCCTGCCCACCCGCCTGCAGTAGGCGCAGTAGCACCAGCACCAGCACCATAGTGGAGACGGCTATCTCTGCAACTATCTATGTACGTATACATCCATCCAGCCATACATCCAGCAATCCAGCCATACATACAGCCCATACACACAATACAATATAGTACTACTTGCTGCTCCGGTACATGGCAGGCCAGCCCACCAGCAAGCAGCCCACCAGCAGCCCACCCGGCCAGCCCAGGGCCCGCCAACCACGCCATATCCCTACGGCCCATTGCTGCTGGTACTGGTGCTGCTGCTGCTGCTGCTGCTGCTAGTACTGCCATTGCTGCGCTGCTCCCACGGCTTCGCTACTACTGCCCGCCCTGTGCTTCACCGTCTGTCTTCGCGCTGCCGCACCACTGCCACCACCACCCCTCCGCTACTCCCCCGACTCGCCTTCTGGCACCGCGTGCAGAAACAGACTAGCATAGCATAGCACGCCTCAGATGAGCGCTGAACACCGTCGCGCGTCAGCC